GGATCTAAGACAAGATTTTGGCGACGTCTTGCCCAATGGGGAGCAAGCCTGAAAACTTGACTCCCCAAATATGGTGCACCCAGTGGAGGTCAATTCCTCCCTCAAATGGTGGTAACCCATCCTAATTGTGGCAGTAAGTACCTGCCAATAGAAGGAAGTCACGTTTAAAAAGATCCCGATGTCATCTGAAAAATAGGAGCCTAGGGGGCTAAATCTCGTAAAAGGTGGAATCCTGGATGGAGGAGCACCCAAATGATATGGGCAGAAAAACCATGGACTCCAAAAATTTAAAAAACCACTTTATTAGCTGAGCTCAGTGGCAACACTGTCCCAGAAAGAAGCCAGGGGAGTGTGCTGGGAGCCACAGGGCTGCAGGGAGTTATAAAGTAGCATGCTGCAAGGGCAGAGGTCAGGGTCTAAGGATCAGTTTGTCCCCATAAAAGGAACCAGGGAGGCAGGGAGGGGGTTGGTTACATGGTGAGTATATTACAAGGTAGCAACTTGCAATTATACAAACTTTACAGGAAGAGAACAAGTTATAATAAATACAGCACATTTTGAGCTTTTGAGCTAATAACAGTTATCATTTCAGAAATTTCAAGTGTGTGTCTTCTAATTTATTTTGTGCCTCTGTCTCCCCAACTTTAAATGGGGCTCACTGTGGGGTGTGGTGGCTTTCTCATCAGGCCTGGTGGCTGCCTCACAGAGGAGAAGAGTAACCTCTCCAGACTTGGCAAGTGGCTTGCCAGGGGCATGACTTCTTCTCCTTAGCCTGCAGTGAGGGTGAGGGCTAGTTTTGTTATTACTGCTGGATTCCTGCATTACATCTCTCCATGGGCTTCAAGTCTCACTTTAGATTCTTTCTGGGTTCTAGGGACTTATTTCCCTCCTTTTTCTCTTCTGTATGTTGCTATATTCCAATGTCTGGACCCCAGATGTTGGAGGGGCTCTTTCTCTGCTGCTCACCACTCTGCCATCTTCCTAGAAGTGCCCAGCCTTACTGAATTTGTCACTTTTTTGTGGATTCCTTAGGTTTTTCTATCTTTAAAATCATGTCTGCAAATAGATATAGCATCTCCTTTTCTATTTGAATGTACTTTATTTCTTTCTCATTGCTCTGGCTAAGATTTCCAATACTATATTGAATAAAAGTGGTAAATGTGGATATTCTTGTCTTATTCCTGATCTTAGAAGAGGAAATTTCAGATTTTCCCCATTCAGTATGATGTAGGCATTGTTTATCATATGCAGTCCTTTCCATAATTGTGTTGAAGTTCATTTCTTCTATACTGTGCCTTATTTTTGTTTTTATATGAAGATATGTTAATTTTATCAGATGCTTTTTCTGTGTCTATTGAGATGATCATACTTTTTTAACTTCTATCTCCATATAGTTTTTATCCTTCATTTGTTACTGTGATGCATTACATTTATTGATTGTATTATGTTTAATTAGCCTTTCTTCTCTATGATAACCTCATTTTATTGTGGTACACAAACCTTTTTATATGCTATTGGATTTGATTTATTAGTATTTTGGGGAGGAATTTTGCTTATGTGGTCATCCAGGGTATTGATGTGTATGCCCCCGAACTATCAACAGTGTCTTAGTTTTCTCCCCTCATTGAGACAAAATACCTGATGCCCAAAGTAGAGCAAGGAGAAAGGTTTATTTAACTTACAGTTTTTTGGAGTTTTAGTCCCTCCCTATTCAGCTGGCTTCAAGACAGGGTGATATGGGTGAGGGGCAACCATTCATGGTGACCAGAAACAGTAAGAGTGAAAAGGGCAAAAGGGGAAAGCACACCTCCTTCCCGTCCTTACTTCCCACCCCTGGATGGGTGCAGCACTGAAACCACTAATGCCAGCGCTAGACAGTGAACCAATCACAAATGCTAGATTCAGCCACCTCCATGACATGAGGCCATAACACTTTTTGCCATTTTAGTTGATTTTTTTGAAAAAATATTTGCTGTGTGCCCTTACGACAATTTCCAGGGTTTTGTTTGTTGGATTTTGGTTTTGTTAGGTGATTGAGGACTATTCTGTTTTGTTTTGTTTTTTAAGACAGGGTCTCATTTTGTAATTCAGGCTAGCCTCACGTATGTTGCCAAGGTAGACATCAGACTCATGACATTCCTCCTGACTCAGATCCCAGGCCTTCCTGTGTTTTCCTGGCTGCCTCTGAATTCCTGAGCTCCATCAGTCCTCCCACCTTGGCCTCTTGAGTGTCTGGCAGTACAGATGCATGATGCTACTATGCCTGATTCAGATACTACTGTTTTTGTTTTTTGTTTGTTTTCTTTGTGGTACTAGATTGAAACCAGAGCTTCATGCATGGTAAGCAGTTACTCTATTACTAAGCTATATCTTAAGTCCATTTTATTTTTATTTTAAAACAGGGTCTTGTTAAATTGCCCAGGCTTTCCTTGAACTTATAATGTTCCAGCCTCAGTCTGCCAAATAGTTGGTTATTTGTAATTTTTAAAATAAATTTTTTTCACTTAACTTGTTTTACTGGGAACCTAGTATATGGATACCTCATACTGCTATCGAGGAAGCAAAATTCTCATAGCATTTTAAAAACTTACTCTTTAAGTTGTGTGTAGTTAGAATTGGGTGTGGTGACACATGCCCAGTAGTCAGGAGACAAGGCTGGAGGACTGCTATGAGTTCAGTGTCAGCATGGGGTATAAAATGAGTTCAAGGCCAGCCTGAAATGTATAGTGAAACCCTGTCAATAAATAAATAAATAAAATTTAAAAAAATAAATTGCAAGCCAGGGATTTAGCTTAGCAGTGTAAATGCCTGCCTGGCAAGTTTAAGATCATGAGTTTAATTCACAGTACAAATAAATAATTAAATATACAAATAAATTGCATGTTCTTTTTAATTGCTAGGTTTGGCTAAATATATTTTATTCTTTTTTATATTTTAATTGTTTTATTGTAGCTTATTTTTAGTATTTTTTTCTTCATTTAGGTTTATCAAGTATTTGCCTGGTTTATTAAAATTATCAAGATAGCAATTTTTGAAACTGGAGATACATGTAAACATATATTCTGTGGCCTTTTAATGTGGAAAATTAATTCATTTCTGCATTTGCCACATCTTATACCAAATATTTGCTCTAAAGTTATTTTAATAATATTTTCAGTCTTCACTAAAGTCTCTTCTGGAGCCTGAGCCCAGGCTAAGTGATTCCTTTTTTGAATCTCGGTCTTAAGTGACCCTTCCATTTCAGTCTCACATGCTTGTAGCTAGGACTACAGGCATGTACTACTTTGCCTAGCTAGCCACCTAAAGTTCTTATATATTTTTTAGACTTGTGGTTCACGCTGAACTTAAACTCACTGTGTAGTCCAGGCTGGCCTCAAAGTTATGGCAATCCCATTGCCTCAGGCTCCTTAATACTAGGTTTACAAGTGTGACTACTAGCCACCTTCTAAAATTTTAGACAGAAGTTTTTGTGAGTTCATTTGATTAGTTTGGTTAGTCATGTATTGGGCAGTACTGACAAAAATATTTTATGTGTGCTTTTATTTTTACTATGATTAGAGAAACTATTGCAGCACAAGCTAGTTGTCCTCATCGGGTTTTGTCTTTATTCTTTCTCCTCATTGCTTCCTCAAACATCTCACTGTAAAGTCAGGATTATGTATCATTGTTTTTTTATCTGTCATATTTTTCCAATGGTTTCCTGTCATTGGCAATTTTACATGCTTTTAAGCAAAACCTCAGCAATAAAGAAAGGAAGTTTAAGGCATTTTCATATGTCCTATTGTTTATCTTGAATCAGTATGTTTGAGGGATTCTAAGACAACTTCTGCTGCTTTTTAGAGGAAGTATGGTATGATGGGTGAGAACCTACAACTTTGAGCCACACTGGGCTAGAATTCCAAGCTCTACCAAATAATAGATTTGCAACCAGAGGAGAGTTACTTTTAACTCCTGTTCTCTTCTATTTTTTTACAGACTTTTGAATGGATGATAATACAGTAATAGCTAGTTGATAGCCTTATTAGGGGAATTTTAGAAGTGATCAGAAATAATTATAACATTGCCTGACAGTAAGTTCGCAGCAGATGCTAGTAGTGACAATACTGGTGATTGTAATAGTTTCTCTGAATCATTTCTTGCAGTTCTGCTTTTGATGGTTTCCATTTGTACTTCCCATTTTGACTCTTTCCTTTTGTGCTATGTGTTTAATAAATTCCACCAAGTATGGAACATGTGGATGCTTTTCTTTGAACCTTTATGAGTATAAGGTTTTCATTCTATTTAGACACCGAAGTTTTTAAATGGGGAAGAAGAACAAGATATTTGTGATCGTCATGTTTTTTCTAGTCTAATAATTTGGATGTAAATAAAATAAAAACCTGAGTCTCTTTCTTTTATATTTAACTGTTGAGCCTGTGTTTGGCCCTATTACCCATTGTGCATGTTCTCTAAAACCACTTACATGCTTCAGTCATAGGTTCAGATTTTCATTTTAGATTAATGACCAAAATATTTTCATTGTTGTTCTTCTATATCTGATTGCAGGGATTTCTGGGAGAAAGTTGAGTTTTATATGTTCAAATTTTAATGCCCTCTCTTCTGCTTTTTTTCCTCTCTGCCCTTCTGTTCTCTGTCATATTCTCTTTCTCACTGAAACACACAATCAACTGGTCAGGTTCTGAGGCAGTTACCTGTGAGTCATATCCAACTTTTTCATCTCTGTTATAGCCCACTAAAGATCAATGACCACTGACTCCATAGATTCATCGTCTAGTAAATGATGAATTAATTAGTGCTTACTGACTGAATATTTAACATACTGTGACAGAATATTTCTAATGTGTTCTGTTTCCCTGCATAGTATAGTACAAAATTAGGTAAATATAAAAACTAAATAATTTCTAGTGAAATCTGACGCCTGATTACTAGTTAAAGAAGTTTTTTTTTTTACCTCAATACTTAATTTTGGTGACTAAATTAATGAGAATCATATTTTACAGGAAACTGTAACATTTAAAGATGTGGCTGTGGACCTCACCCAGGAAGAATGGCAGCAAATGAAACCTTCTCAGAGGAACTTGTACCGTGACGTGATGCTGGAGAACTATAGCAACCTCGTCACAGTGGGTAAGGGTAGCTTTGCAGTTAAAGCAGAATTTCTTTCCAATTCTGAAATGTGTGGAGACTTTGGTTTGCCAGATGGATTAGCCTTCCCTTTTTTCACATGATTGTATGTGCTTTACTGCTAGGGGTAGAGACTAATAGCTTTGTATCAGTATGATTTTCCTTCATCCTTATCCTTCATAAATCTTCAGACCCTTGAGATTCAGCCCAAGATCTGTGCAGTTGTCTCCAGCATTAACATCCAAGTTCCTGTTTGTTCCCGTAACAGGCTGTCAAGTTACCAAACCAGATGTGATCTTCAAGTTGGAACAAGAAGAAGAGCCATGGGTGATGGAAGAAGAAATGTATTGGAGACACTCTCCAGGTGAATAAGTAAAACACAACCTCAAATGAGCTGGCTATATGAAAGTTTTCAGTAAAGCGTTCACATTTTCTAAGATTTTCTTAAAGGCCATAGTTTTTGTCAGATTTTTGTCCCACTGTTTTCCTTGTACTCTCCTTTGTGCTGTCTTATTTTCTTATAGATTCAGTATTGGAAGGATTTATAGTATTTTTAAGATACGTTTATTTCACACTTAGATTCCTTTTACCTTTTCCCATGTTTATATTTTGAAAAGCTTCAGATTTGTGTGTTGTATTTGTTTGTCTGTTGAGACAAGTCTCGCTATGTAGTTCAGGCTGGGCATGAACTTGTGATGATCCTCCTGCCTCAGCCTCTCAAGTGCTGGAATTCCAGGCATGCACCACCATGCCCGGTAGATTGATGTTTTATAATGGCAATCATACTTCCCATTATACTTCATAACTTTTATAATCTCATAGCTTAGAAATCTAAAATTTTTAGCTTACAAATATCATAATGTCTCCTTCTTTATGCCCACCTTCCATTTCTTTAATTTTTTGGTAATCTAATATTTGAACACTTGTTTAAAAATATAAAAATCCAAAATATGCATTGAAAAGTAAGTCTTCCTTTTATTCTTGATACTTAGTCCCTGCCTTTCTTTAGTTATATACACTTTTTTTTTTCAAAGTTGTCCTACCTATTCTTGATTGATTGTTCATGTTTGCATATGAATTTTGGACTTAACTCTCTATGTATTTCCAGAGAAAAACCTGTGGAATTAGTAGTAGTAGTAGTAGTAGTAGTAGTAGTAGTACCAGGGATTGAACTCATGACTTTGCACTTGCCAAGCCAGTGCTTGTGCCACTGAGCTAAACCCCTGGCCCATACCTGTGGAATTATTTATGCTAGATATATGAATTAACACTCAACAACTTGCCATCTTTATTATCTTTAGAATGTGAAGGTATTTTTATTCAAGAAGATGTAGTGTGTCTGTATTTATCTTGTTTTTCTTTATAGGTTTTGGACATTTCTCATTAGGTTTATTTACATAGTATAAAAGAGAAAAACATACTATAAGAATTGAAAACTATAAAACGATCTTTATTTCTATATGATGAATTTGTATCCCTGAAAAATACAAAAGTACCTACTACTAAGTTACTACAAATACTAAAAGAATTCAGTGTCACCCAAAAGCAGCCAAACAAAATCTGTATCTATTGGCATAGCATATGGCAGTATTTAAACAGTTCATTAAAAAAAAAGAGGAAGTAGAGGAGATCATGTAACCTGGCAAAATGTTGATAACAGTTTAAGCTAAGTGACAAATACATGAAGGTTTCTTATACTATTTTCTCTGTATTTATGTTTGAAAATGATTATAGTAAAATTTTTACATAGCAGTACAACCATATTTATTTGCAAATATGGAGGTGTATAACAAAGGAAATACTTAGATAAGTTGAAAATAGTTGCCTCAAAGAAGTGAAATGCGAGATTAGAACACTGCAGTGCTATAACCCCTGTATTTCTATAGGCTTTCCAAACGAGTACATGTATTTAGAGAAGACTTTAAAGTACATATTAAAAAAGAAAAAATGATGCAAAAGAGAAATCTCAGCTGGGTGCAGTAGCGCACATCTATAATCTCAGCAACTTGGGGATGAAATTCAAATTTTGTTGAATTAACCATTATAAATTTATAATTATGTAATTTTAGCATCAGGATAAAGATTTGAGGATATGAGAGCAATCTGGCTGTAACACCTGTTACCCCATTGCTCCCCAGGGTTGATTAAGCTGATTCGGCTGGCTAGGAAGTTGTCCCCTTCCTCCCTCACTGCTCTGCGTACATTCCTCCCAAGCAAAACTGTGTACTCAAAGAAGACAACCGCCCTTGACTGGGGAGGACTGTGTTTCCTTGGTCAAGTGTATGCGAGTAGCTGCATTCCCCTGGTAGAACCTCCACACATGCTCTCAGAATAAAGATTTGTATAAAAATACTTTTATGCATTATTTTAATTCAAACTATTTCCTCTTAAACCAGAGGCTTCTTTGGGTAATCTTGTGAATTTTCTGCTTCAAAGATGGAAATAGCCATTTCTCTTAAGACTCTCTGCTTACTTTAGTAGGAAATTAGAGAACACAATTTGAATGCTTTGGTTACTCATTTATTATTGGATTATTATGTAACATACGAAAATATATCAGTACACTGTAATAATATTGCCAGCATCATTACTCATGAGCTTTGGGCTGTGATTAACTAAAGAGTTGTGCTTGGATATAAGCACTGCAGTGTCACCTCAGTTGATCTGATGAGCAAAAAAGCTATAGAGTGACTACAGTTAGATGGTGTACATAGTATGGATATGCTAAACAAATTTCATATTACAGGTGGAATGAAGTGGAATGGTGCTTCTTGTAATTCTGTCACATTATTCAAAGTGGCCTACAATTTAGAACATAGGAATTATTTATTTCTAGAATTTTCCATTTTTTGACCAGTTCATCTCCAAATGGTTAAGACTTTGAAAAGTGAAATTGTGGATGAGGAGATTACATTCTGATGAGAAAAAATGTGCACAAGAATGTCTAGAATAAGCTGTCTGTTGCACAAGAAGACATTGGAGAGCTGGACTTGGTAGCATGTTGTCTGTAATGCCAGCACTCTATGTGACTGAGGTAGGAGAACTGAAAGTCAAGTCGAACCTGGAGATCTAGTGACTTAGCAGGGCCCTGTCTAAAAATAAAAAATTTTAAAAAGGACAGAGATGTTGCTAGTTGCAAAGGTCCTGGGTTTAATTCTCAGTACCACAAAAAGGGGGTGTCAGAGAGATTTATTGTTATATAGGAATATATATTAAATGTGCATATCTATATTTAAGTACATATATACATGGATATATTTTTAAAGATGGAAGAATAATCCCAAAACTAATAAAAATGATTACAGAAAAATAGGAGCAGAGACAAGTAAAAGCTAGACTAATTTGAATATGCTGCTGTTTGTAATTTCCTATTTTTCATCATTTGGCATAAAGACAAGATGAGATTTAGTACTCTTAAAACACCAACTACCACTTCTCTGAATATAATTATATCACAATTTTGCCTAATTCACTTTTCAGTGCTTCCTTTGATATGACTATTAATGTAATATTTTTCACTAAGCCAAAAAGTAACTATTAATTTTGTGTTTATCTAACTTGGTCACTTCTAAGGTTTTTTTTGTACCAAGAAATGAACTCACAACCTTTCGCTTGCCAGGTAGTTGCTTATGCTGCTAAGCTAAATCCCTGGCCCTACCTTGATCATTTCTTAGAGATATTACTTGCCTTGCTTTTATGTTTTCTTGGTTTTTCTGTATTTTTTTTTTTGTTTAAATGGGACTCTCAAAATTGATTTAAATAAGGAATTTATCAGGGTTGTTAGTTTACCTTATTTTGGTACATGAAGGAATAAAGGAAAATTCTAATGATTTGTAGCTACTAAAGCTTTTGCCTTTTTTTATTTGAATAGCACACAGCACTGCAGAGTGGTTGGATCAGAACCTAAAATGTTTTGTGTGGAATCCTAGGTGTCTGTATCTATAGGTCTTTTGTTTTAAAATTTCCCATGTCCTACATGAAGATACATGCCAGTATTCATTATGCTAAACAATAAAAAGATATTGGAGTCTTACTATTCAGTATGCTAACATTTGTGTAATTCCTGTTTTTTGTTAATATAAAGACCTTCTTTGCATGTTCAGTACTGAATTTTAAGTCTAGATCATCTTTGATTCATTTTCTCTCGAATATAAACTTTGTTTTTCTGCTTGGATTGTATAGACATGGCTACTTCCTATGTAAATTGGGTGGTAATACCCACTGGTCAAGATCATTATGGAGATAAGAATATATTAACTGCTATTTAAGAAAAAAATCCATATAATAACATTAAATACCTTACAAAGTAGAAAAGCAAAATGGGATGTTGAAATAGATGTTATTTAAGGTATTAAGGATCCATAATACCTGTCTCAGAGAACCTAATTGTTCCCTATTCAAATTTGAAATTTTCTTTTTAGTCTCACTTTTACCTGTTTTTTAAAAAATTCAACTGCATTTTTGAGGTTCGCAGCAAAATTGATCAGAAATTAGATTTCCATGTACTTTCTGCCCTTTCTAACCTTGCCCAATACCTACTCAACAGTGATATATTTGTTATAATCCCTGAAGCTACATAGACACATTAGTACCAATTTATGTAGTAGAGTAGTAGTTTAACTTTTGTACAAGTTTGAGAAATGCATTCATTATACTACTATACAAAATAGTTTCACTGCCCTCCAAATTCTATTTCCTCCTTCCCTTTCCTAAAACCACTGTCAACTAGTAATATACTTTACTTTTCCAGTATATTTGGAATCATACAGTAGGTCACCTTTTCAGGTTGGACTCTTCCACTTAGCGATATGTATTTAAGGTTCTACCATCTTTTTATAACTTGATAGCTCATCTCTTCTTAGCACTGACTAATATTCCTTTGTCTAGATTTATCAGTTTTTCCATTCACCTACTAAAGAACATTTTCTGAATTTTAGCAGATATACGTGAACATTCATATGCAAGTTTGCAACTCACTGGATAAATACCATGCTTGTATTGTATGAATATATTTAATATTCTAAAAAAAATCACAAACTGTCCTCCAAAGTGCATCATTTTACTTTCCCACCTGTAGTGAATGAGACTCTTGCTCTACATTCTTGTCAGCCTTTGATTTTATCAGCAACTTTGATTTTTATCTGTTGTAGTAGTTGTATAGTGATATCTCATTTTGGTTTGCAATAAATTTCCTAATAACATGATGTTGAGCATATTTCCATATGCTTGTTTTCTTAATGTGTGTCTTCTTTATTGAGAAATCTGTTGAAGGTCTTTTGCCTATTTTTTAATCAGGTTTTCCTGAATGTTGGGTGTTGAAGAGTTCTTTGCACATGTTAGATAGCAGTCTTTCTCAGTTGTATCTTTTACAAATATTTTTCCTCATCTGTGACTCATTATTTATTTGACAGTATCATTCACAGAGAAGTTTTTACCTCTAATGAAGTCTGACTAACTTTTTCTTTCATGTATCACATCTTTGGTATTGTTACTACCATACCCCTAGATCATGCAGGTTTTCTGTGTTGTCTCCTAGGAGTTTAAAACTTGTGTTTTGAATTGTATATGGTGGCCCACATTTGTAATCCTAACACTTGGGAGGCTGTATCAGGAGAATCACTGAGAGTTCAAAGCCAGCCACAACTATATTGTGAGACCATGAGTCAAAACAATAAAATAAAATAATACAAATTTTTGTATGTGTGCTTTACAATTAAGTATGTAATTCTTCTTGAATTAATTTTTGTGATTAATGTAAGGTCTGTGACTAGATTAATATGTAGTTGTTCATTTCCTGCATAATTCGTTGAAAAGACTTTGCTGCACTATATTGCCTTTGCTCCTTTTTCAAAGATCAGTTGACTGTGTTTATGTGGGTTTATTTCAAAGCTCTGTTTTCTTTTTTGTTGTTCTGCTTATTCTTTCACTTATACCACATTATCTTGATAATTTTATAGTAAGTTTCAAAGTTACATGATATCTGGTCACTTTTTAAATTCTGTGTCATTTATTCTGGGTCTTTTGTCTCCATATGAACTTTAGAATCAGTTTTTCTGTATCCATAAAGTAATTGGCAGTGTGAAATTTCATTGAATCTATAGATCAAATTGAGAAGGACTGACATCTTAAAATATTAGGACTTCTAATTCTTGAGAATGTAGTATCTTTTTAAATGTAATACCTATTTAGTTTTTCTTTGAGTTTATTCATCAGAACTCATGGATCTGTTTTCTTCATGTAGATCTTACACATATGTTGTTATATTTACAGTAGACAATTCACTTTGTATGTTAACCCTAAATCCTGCAACTGTACTATAATTACTAGTTCCCACAGTTTTTTTTTTATTCTTTCAGATTTGCTACATGGGTGATTATATCATACCATCTATTAACAAAGATAGTTTTAATATTGTTTCTTCATTTCTAATCTATACACCTTTTTAATTTTTTCTTATCTTACTGCATTAGCTAGATCTTCCAGTATGGTTTTGAAAAGCAGTGGTGAGAACATCCTTGTCTTGTTCTTGTCTATTCTTGCGAAAAAGGTACTTGAATCTTCTTAGGTCCTGAGCTTTCCCAGGGTTTGTGGTGAAACTACTTTATCCATATTGGTATTTTCTTCTTCACGAAACTTTTGCTTTAGCTTGTTAAGTGTGCTTTCCTAGTAAACAGTTTGCTACATGTCTTTTAACTTACCCTGTTTTGTTGAAAAGTCTTATCTGCCTATGTCTACACTTTCATTTAATCTTAAAGATTTGATCCTTTATTAGTTTTCAGAGGAATTTTAGAAATGACAAGAAATGAAAGTATGCTTCAGTCCACTATTTACCCACAAATATTAGTTTTATTCTGTTGTTTGACCCTTCCCTATAAACTCATTTATGTATTTACCCTTTTATTTTAAATTATACTTATTTTGTGAGTTTTGTCATTGTACTTTATAGGACATACTTAAAATCAGTCAACCTACTTAGCTGTGTACATACCCGTTTTTTCTTCATAGAGTTTTCTATAGTAGTTAACCCCTCAAACCTTAGGAACTAGTACTTTATTTTAGATTTCTTTCATATGGGTTGACTAAGGCCAACAACAAAGATTATACCCCACATGAGCAAATTTCTGATATGTTACTAGTAGTACAATGATAAATTCACAAGTAATAATTTTTGGTCCTCCATTTTAGAAGTTTGGAAAGTTGATGAGCAGATCGAGAAGCAGCAGAGAACACTTTTGAGGAAAGGCACATCCATCTCCAAGAAAACTCTGATTAAGGAAAAAGTCATTGAATGTAAAAAAGTTGCAAAACTATTTCCTCTGGTCTCAGACATTATTACTTCGAGCCAAAGCTTCTATGAATGTGACTCACTTGATAAGGATCTGGAACAAAATTTAGACTTGTTTAGTTATGAGAAAGGCTGTGTAAGAGAGAAAAATTTTGAATGTAATGAGTTTGGGAAACCATTTTACCATTGTTCGTCCTATGTCATAACTCCCTTTAAGTGTAATCAGTGTGGACAAGACTTCACTCATAAATTTGACCTCATTAGACATGAGAAAATTCATGCTGGGGAAAAACCTTATGAATGTAAAGAATGTGGAAAAGTCTTCAGCAGAAAGGAAAATCTTATTACACATCAGAAAATTCATACTGGGGAAAAACCTTATAAGTGTAATGAATGCGGAAAAGCTTTCATTCAAATGTCAAACCTCATTAGACACCAAAGAATTCATACTGGAGAGAAACCTTATTCATGCAAGGATTGCTGGAAAGCTTTCAGTCAGAAATCAAATCTCATTGAACATGAGAGGATTCATACTGGAGAAAAACCTTATGAATGTAAGGAATGTGGAAAATCCTTCAGCCAGAAGCAAAATCTTATTGAGCATGAGAAAATTCACACTGGGGAGAAACCTTTTGCATGTAATGAATGTGGTAGAGCTTTTTCTCGGATGTCATCTGTTACTCTACATATGAGAAGTCACACAGGAGAGAAACCCTATAAATGTAATAAATGTGGAAAAGCTTTTTCTCAATGCTCAGTATTTATTATACATATGAGAAGTCATACAGGTGAGAAACCTTATGTATGTAGTGAATGTGGGAAAGCCTTCTCTCAAAGTTCATCTCTTACTGTACATATGAGAAATCATACAGCAGAGAAACCCTATGAGTGCAATGAATGTGGAAAATCTTTCAGCCGAAAAGAAAATCTTTTTACACATCAGAAAATTCATACTGGAGAAAAACCTTATGAGTGCCATGATTGTGGAAAAGCTTTTATTCAGATGTCAAACCTCATCAGACACCAGCGGATTCATACTGGTGAGAAACCCTATATCTGTACAGTGTGTGGAAAAGCTTTTAGCCAGAAATCAAATCTTACTGAACATGAGAAAATTCATACTGGAGAAAAACCATATCATTGTAACCAGTGTGGAAAAGCCTTCAGTCAGAGACAGAATCTACTTGAACATGAAAAAATACATACTGGAGAGAAACCATTTAAATGTAATGAATGTGGTAAAGCCTTCTCTCGAATCTCATCCCTTACTTTGCATGTGAGAAGTCATACAGGAGAGAAACCCTATGAATGTAATAAGTGTGCAAAGGCCTTCTCTCAATGCTCATTACTTATTATACATATGAGAAGCCATACGGGTGAGAAACCTTTTGAATGTAATGATTGTGGAAAAGCATTTTCTCAAAGGAGCTCCCTTTCTATACATAAGAGGGGTCATACAGGTGAGAAACACCGAGTATTCTAAATAAGGGCAGACCTTCTCTTGTATATTGAACCTATGATTTACTTAAAACATCTTGATGTAAGCTCAAAAAACATTGAACAAGACTGTTTTGGAAAAAGTGAAATTTTGTTGGGTGTGTAAGACCTTGAGTAAACTGATAAACTACAAATATCATTGATAAACCCAGTATCATAAAGTTGTCAGTTCTCAAAAAAATCTATAGATTGAATGCCTTTGCAAACAATCTTAGCCTCAATTTACAAAATTATTCTAAAATTCATGTGAAACAAGTCTATGGATTGCTGAAAATTTTGAAAAACAGCAAAGGAGACACCCTATTTGTACACTATCTATATAGTTATAGTCATTAAAAAGTGTGTGGTAGTAGTACATTAGATAGGGTAACAGTTTTAAAGAATAAAAGCCTTTTGTTTTGTTTTGTTTTTTGTGCCAGAGATCAAACTTAAAACCTTGTATTTGCCAGGCAAGCACTATACTGCCCTAAAGGATAAAGTTTTAAACAACAGACCCATGAGTATATGTGAATTTGTTATATGTTAAGTTTTTTTAAGTTAATAGGAAACAATGGCCTAGCAAATGATAATTTTTAAAGTATTTGATTATATCAAGGGAAATACAATTATGTTCAACCCTACAATTATAAAGAAATGATAGTCTAAAGAATTTTAACACTGAAATCTAACAAGTCAAAGTCTGAAACCATTGGAGGAAAATACAGGTTATTCTGTAATCCTTTGAGGGAATGAGGGCTTGGTTTGGTTTGGTTTGGTTTGGTTTGGTGGTTTGGGTTGGTTTTTAGAAGGATCCCACACTTCCATTTCTGGTCTTCATCCTATAGAAATTCACAAAAAATATTTTAGATAGATAGATAGATCCTAAATATTCATCAGTGGCTTAATGGATGAATATGTATGATGCATTCAAATGATGGAATTGTAAACCCTAGTTAAAAACAACTAGATCCAAGTTGTATAGTAAGTGTTGAATGAAAAAAAAGATGAAGGTATGGATGAAACATTGTGTAACAGTCATGTAAGTTGGGATGAAATCATTTACAAAGACAAATTTTTATTTAAGTAACTATTCAAGATGGGTTAAAAAGATACATGCCTCATTATTGATGGTGTTATCTTTGGCAGGATAGGAGGTAGGGTATTAATTAAGAGGGACTGTTAGGTTTACATGTATTTTTTACACGTTACAAAAGACTGGTAGCATGTAAAGAAATTCCTAACAGTTACTGATACCACAGTGGTACTATGATTGGACTGTCTTAATATAGTGTTTTTCTAGTAATTTCTCAGAATTAATAGGTTAAGAAAAATTTTATTCATAGAAAGAAATATTATAATGGATTCTTATGTCCTATCAGATGCTGACCTTTATTAAAAATATTTCCAGAAAATTCATAGCTTGAATATTGCTCATGATGTAATATGAAGTTAGCATGTCTTATTCTATGAATTTTTTTACATTTTTACATTTAATTATTAAATTTTGAAAATCAGATATCTTTATAACAAATGAAGTGGGTTTGCATTTATTATTCTAGGATATAATGATCTGCTCATGGTCCCTGTCCTTTTAGTGTGTGTATCATTACTTAACAACAGATTTTTGTTAGTTAATGGGTAACCACTTAGTCATGTGTTCAGAGTAATTGTGAAATGAATAAGAGTTTCCTGAGAATTGAACTCTGCAGTGGTAGTGTTCTCAGCCTGTGAGTTTCCATGCAAGGGCATAAGCATTAATGTTATTGTTAATTATTTCCTTGGTGGTCATAAGTAATTTTGTAAAACTGCTTATTCATAACATATAGAACCATATTGTCAACTCCTATAATTCTTGAGTTATATATTCTATCTAGTTTTGGTTGGCAGTAGTGATGATCTCAGATTGTAAGCAATAATTAATAAAATTCCTCCAAAAGGATCTTCTTCTCTATAACATACTTAAACCTATCCCTAAGATATAAAGATTGAGGATAGTGATCTAAGTAAAGCTTTTAACTTTTTGAATTTGTTTAAAATTGATTGAAATATAACTATGATTATGTAAATGTTGATGATGATTAGGTATTTTTGGAAATGGACAATGGTGTTATATATAGCAAGGACTCAATTTTAATGAAAACAGTAACAGTTTAATATGTCTAAATAAATACTGTCATTTCCTATAAATCTAGTGTTATCTGCATACCTAATATCTGCAAACTTTTTTCTAATTTTCTAATTTAATGCATTATCTGAAAAAAATTTCTATGTAAATATTTTCAATTGAGAAACATTAATTTTCATCTAAACTGTTGTTTTTCTCCATGATTTATTTCCTTATTTTTTCTCTATATACTTTATGTACTGTAAATCTTATGTCCTTTTTTATATAAATTCAGTGTCAACAGAGAAATTTAAAATTTCATTTTAGGCTCAAAGCCTAACACCCTCTTTAGGCTCCTCTTTTGGCCTCTCTGTCCTTCCATAAAACTAGCTGAGTTTATCAGTGAGGGGAAAATGCTTGGGTATGAACCATATTGGAAGTCTAAGACAGGTATTATGCTGATTGTATGTCAGCAAGCAAGTGAGCTAGTCTCTACAAATGCATATTCCCTTTATATTAAAGTGTAAAAAATAACGATATAGATATAATTGTCTGTGGTAACAGTTTAAAAGAATATTAAATTGTAGCAACTCTTTCTTTATCTGAACATACATGAACTACTACTGGAGCATTTCTATTCTACACTTCAAACTTCATAAGGTACAATTCCTATGAGTGACCTTGGAACACATAGTATATATTAGCAGTAGCTTGAATTAGCAGCAATAGAAATTGATAGATTTGACATATATTTTGGAGATGATTCAATAGAAATTTCTCATGTAAAAAGAAGAAAGAACAGAATAACTTCTTGGTGTGGCAAGTAAATGGCTGGATGACGGAATATTTGCTTAACATGCAGCAGACTAGTGAGAAATATTTTGGGTAAAGGTTGGGGAATGGAATAAAAATCTGTTACGGACTTTTCTTTTCCAATGTATATCCCAAAAGCAGACCTTGAGATAAAAATTCCTATATAAATAATTTAATGAGGAAATGCTTTCAGCAAGAAGCATTGGAGGAAGCTGGACAGAAAAAGGGAGTCAAGGGTATTAGGCCAGGCATCCTGCCACGAGTCATTTCAGCTTAATCCTAGGGAAGCTTTGAAATGTACACTATACCTCAGAGTTGATAAGATTCACCTTTAGAACCAAAACACTTCTGCTTTCCACTACGAATAATCTTGACTTCTAATCACTCACAATTAAGTTCCTCTACCAGAATCATTCTTAGATGAAAAGAATTGCCTTATGCAAATTTACACAGTCCCTTGAAGACAACCTTGACCCCTTTGCTTCAATTTATGACAAATGGAAGAGGCACCCCAGGTTTAGAGCTCTGAGGAATTACAACTGCATTGCAATTCAGTTTCTCCTTCCACTCAGTTCTGCTTCTCTTGTATCTTAACACAGGTGATATTCCCAAGAGCATCCCTCAGTAAATGTCAGCATTAAATTTTCCTCTTAGATTCTGTCTGCCACAGAACCTGATCTAATAAGACAGTGGAACATTTTACAAGAAGAAGAGCAAAACTGGTTACAGAGTCTAAAAAATTCAGGTAGTGGGAGACATATAATTCAGAGGTTGAAATGGAATTTACTTAAAGTGTTTCAGGTTCCTTCACTGTTAAAGATAGGGCTAATATATTTGAGGTATAGATTTTATAGAATATAACAGACCAAAAATAAGTATCTTAAAATAAGATGACTGCTTTTATTGTTCTGTCACTTAATGGTCTATAAGACAGTCTGGGACTGGTGTAAACCTTCTTTAATATTTTCCATCTCCTCTGTCTAGTGTAGTAGCCTTATTCTGATGACCGTAAGTGGCATGCTATCACATTTATGTCATAAGGCACCAAGTAGTGGAGGGAACAGAAAGACACACTAATTTACTTTAAGGACAGGTATCCAATGTGCATATTGCATTCCTTCACACTCTTAGCTAAATATAGCTGCAGACATAACTGGGAAATTAAAAATTTTACAATACCCAGAACTGGTGATGGTAGTGAGTATATATTTGTCAATGGTGCGAAATATGAAATAGGACTTTTATGATGCCTTTTCTATAAATTAAATGTTGAATAACTTTAAAAATCCAAACCTTCTGGTTTTAGCTCTTGCCTTTAAAGGGCCTGGAAGGCATATTCTTTGTTAACGACAACAGAAGGGAAAGCAGTCTTTTCTTAGACTCATCAGAGAACTATAGAGGCCGAAATTCCAAAATCAAAAAGTTAACCATAAGATCATATTCCCACCAAAGGTCATAACCTCCCCCTTTACTTTGTGTGTCGTCTTCTATCTCATAAGGGATTATCCTCAATTCAATTAATTGTTGTCATTCAGTTTAGGGACCACCTAAATAATCCAGAATTATTTCTCAGATTTTTTCTTGAGATCCTTAATTTCAGATGCAAAGTTCCCTTTTCCAAGTGAGATCACCTGTGTTGGTTCCAGA